TGTGTGTGTGTGTGTGTGTGTGTGTGTGTGTGTACTCATACGTGCTTGCATGCATGTGTGTGTGTGTGTCTGTGTGTGTGTGTGTACTCATAGTGCTTGCATGCATGTGAAGGCCTGAGACAGATGTCAGGAATCACCCTCCATCATTTATTCTCTGAGCCAGGGTCTCTAATCAAATGTAGAGCTGCCTAGTCTCCTAAGCCAGCTTACTCCGGGGATCCCGTCTCTGCCTTATAAGGCTGGAATTGCAAGTGGGCCACCACACTGAGGATCCAGATTCCTGTCCTCACACTTAGGTGGCAAGTGCTTTAATGAGTGAGCCATCAGTTCCTTATTTTGTTTTTAACCTGTGCTTCTTTGTTCTAGGAATGCTCACGATTACAGACTTCATAAATATACTACACAGATACTATAAGTCACCTATGGTGAGTAGCAGAGATCTCACTGTGTGTGCTTAGGATGGGGTGGATTTTCCCAGTATGTTTAAGACTTCCAACCCAAGTAAACAGTGAACTTGGCCTCACATCATTTATTTGAAGTTTGAAGAAGGTACCAGGAAAAAAGAAAGAGTAGTAACTGCTTTATTCAGGTTACAGAATTATCCATTCTGACTTACTGCTCTGATGTGTGTAAGTTCCTGCTGCTTGACCTAGCCCGAAAGTACCAGCTTCTGCTGGGACCAGGAAGGGCGGGGCCTCCCCCACTTCCTCTTAATGACTGGCCTCACCCTGGAGATAAAGTGGCCGAGGGGTTTTCTTTTTGCAGGCCTGTTGTTCTGAGTGGAGTTTGAGAGTTGCTCATCATCCATCCAGGATTTATTTTTCTTACTTATTTCAGTTCTGGAGGGAAACCCAAAGCATTGAGCTTACTGGGCAAGGCTCTACCACAGAGCTACCCAGCCCCTCCTTCACAGTTTTATAGCCACTATAAGGAAACTAGAAAAGAAGTCAGATTTTATCACAATTGAAGTTCTGACTCTTTGCTGCCAAGCTGGGAAAAGACTGTTGTGGATGCTGTTGGTGGCAGACGCCCGGGCACCTAGCCCAGATGGTCTAGCAGGGCAGTTTGAATTGAAACCCAGTCTGCCCTGTATCAAACACCGCTTGGCTTGGTTTTGTTTGCTGTGGTGGGGAGGACAGTTTATCTGTTTGATTTACTAGTTCTACTATTGGGGCATCTAAAAGGCAGACATTTCTCCAGTTAGTTGTGCATTAATGCGATTATTTAACAAGGGAACAGTGTCCTGAGACCCTGTGTATAAGCACAGCAAAATGTTTTACTCAGACCGAAATGGCCACATTGTTGGGTTCTGACAGTCATCATTTGATCAAACTGCCACTGAGTGGCACATGGCTGTAATTCCCACATAAAATACAAAAATGAGTTTCTTCGTGAGAAAAAATCTAGAAGGAAGATGTTTATATGTAGGACAGGAAAGTAGAAAGTGGACTGTGGAAAAGGAAAGAAGGGTAGAGGAGGCCTTACCCTCTCTGAGGAGCACATGGGGATAGCAGCAGGAGCCAGAGGAGAAGGGGGGGGGGACTGGAATTGAAATGTAAAAAATAAATCAATTAAGCCGCCTTTAATCCCAGCACTCAGGAAGCAGAGGCAGGTGGATCTCTGTGAGTTCGAGACCAGCCTGGAACTACAAGAGCGAGTTCCAGGATAGACTCCAAAGCCACAGAGAAACCATGTCTTGAAAAATAATAATAATAATAATTAATTAATTAAAAAGAAAAAAAGAAAGGGGAGAAAGGAAAGAATGGGGAGGAAGGGGTCTTTCCGGTAGGAGTGGAGAATAAGAAAAGATGAAGGGTTATTATACGTGACACAAAACATGAGGAAGGGCCATTTGTGGGAAGAAAGGGGGAAAGAGATGCAAAAGTGGTGTACATACAAAAGCAGAAATACCACCGTGAAAGCTGTTACTTTATCTGCTTATTTAAATTTTTTAATTAAAAAGTATCCTACTTAGAGAAAAATGAAGGAAGTTTTACTAGACTTTAAATATTCTGTGTTATATATGTGATAAAGAACAGCAGATCTCAGGCAGGCGTTGGTGGCACACGCCTTTAGTCCCAGCACTTGGGAGGCAGAGGCAGGCAGATCTCTGTGAGGTTGAGGCCAGCCTGGTCTCCAGAGCAAGTTCCAGGACAGCCTCCAAAGCCACAGAGAAACCTTGCCTGGAAAAACCAAAACAAAAAAAAACAAAAAAAAAAAAAATGAGAGAGAGAGACAGACAGAGAAAGAGAAAATAAGTCAATGAAAGATAAGTAGATACACAGGCTAAAGCTTGCTTGGTATTTGAAGATACATTCTGCTTGTGTCCCCTAATTTTCTAATGATAAACAGAAAAGCAGGAGTATAGCTATGCCCCTATGGATGGTAACACTTGTAGATACGGCTCTTTCTTGTTTGCAGGTACAGATTTATGAATTAGAGGAACATAAGATTGAAACATGGAGGGGTAAGCACTGCCAGGTCTTAAACTCTTCACTGTCTGGAGAAAACGTTATGTGAAAAGTATGTTTGAAGGTCTCAGGTCATTCCCTGCACTTAATTACGACCTGCTAGTTAAAACACTCTGTTTCTTTTTCATTTTGAGGGTCTTCCCTCCTAACACATGTGTGGCCCTACTCCACTAGGCCTAGAGCTGTAGAGAAGAGTGGTATGACCACCAAGTATCACCCTCAGATGTCACCATGGCCCGAGTATGGTGCAGAGCAAGCTTCTGCTCCAAGAAAATGAATTATTATTCTTTTACCAATTCATCAAAAGCCAGAACAAGAGAAATTTTACCTGAACAGTTCAGACCAAATAACAAGAAAATCATTGCAGGAGCTCCTGGCTTGGGAGTTAGTATGGGAAGAAAGGCACTAGCTGTGCAAGCCCTGAGCTCAGTCCCCAGAACCCACATAAAAGAGCCAAGCATGGAAGTGTGCACTTACCAGCAATGGAGACCATGACAGGTGAATCTCAGGGGACTCCCTGGTCAGCCAACCTGATTGAATCAGCCAGGGAGAGACTCTGTCTCAAAAAACATGATGGAGAGCGTCTGAGGTGTTCTGTGTCCCACACACACAAATACGAATACACACAGATACACACACTAGTATATACAAAAAGCCACCCTTTACAGTCTTGTTATTTTTGCCTATAGTGGGACCGTATTTAAACTCTTGTTCCATTCTGGGAAGGTTTTCATCTCAAAGACTCATGGTGGGCAGGGATAGGTCAGAGGACCCAGACTGATCAGAGCACAGGAGCACTGGCCCCATGCTCACAGAAAAGCCTGGGTGGAAGGGGAGGGACCAGCTACAGGCCATTTTTTGGCTAGGGGTTAGGAGTCTGATTTCGTTACTCCCAGCGTGTGCTGACAGGAGGACCAGCTTTCAAGGGCAGCTGAGAAATCGTAGCCTCCACTGGAATTCTCCAGACCTGGGCAGGCCCTTTTTTTTCACATGATTTTGAGATCTTGCCAAGGGATGTGTTTTGTTGAGCATGGCTTTATCAAGGCGGGCTAAATGAGTTTAGTCAGCATGGAATCCAGATGGCCTGTCAGTGACATACATGATTAACAATAAGACAGGCACTTCTGCTGTATACCCTCCATTGCCCGTGGTCAGGCGCATTTACACTTCCACCTACGGGCGTGTTTGAAGGTGTGGTGCTATCAGGATGGTCTCAGACACCTTCTGTGTGCAGATCTCAGCAAAGCAAATTAAGCACAGTTGATTTCTTTACAATGAAAATGTGCATACGCTGGCAAGATTCCCAACGTGCCCCGGGCTTAGAGCATCAGTTGAGAGAAATAAAGTAAGACCATTTGAAGAACAACACTGCTTAGAGTAATGCTACCTCCCAGTTTATGAAAGTCTGCTCTAAAAGAGTCTGTAAATGTTTCATCTCTTAAAGTGGTGTAGACTTGATAGGGCCCAGTGGCCTCTGCTGCCATCGCTCCAGATCAGAGCTTTTCCTGGTGTTATCAGCACCTTTGGAAATATTGGGATTTTTCCTGTATTTGATTATTCTTCAAAGATGATGCCCTGAGAACAGTTGAGGCTGCTGAAAATAACGCTGACTGTGTAACCTTAGTTTGGGGTAAATTATATTTTATTTGTGTTTCAGTTCGTCTAGTTATTGCCTGTAAACTGGAGGATATTGTAATGTCAAACAGCATTGTACACAGCAGATCTGTAACTAACTGTGTTTCCCTCCTACAAATGCAGAGTTGTACTTACAAGAAACCTTCAAGCCTTTGGTGAATATCTCTCCAGATGCAAGGTAAACATGGGAGCTTCTTCTCCGCCTTTGAAAACGTTCTCTGCAGTGTAGGTGTTTTATTGCGATGATAGGTAACTAGAAGTAGACCAGTCCCTCGGTCTAGATAGAGCCAGCCTCCTTAATCCAAGTAGTATGCCAGAAGTGCAGAGATGTTGGAAATCGCAGCAAAGCCAGGCATGGTGGAATCCTAGCACTCAGGAGGCTGACATAGGAGGATTGCGTGTTTGAGGCCAGCCTGGGCTATATACATAGCAAGCACAAGGCTATCCTGGACAACTTAGCAAGACCTGAGAGAGGAAGGAGATGGAACAACTATATAGACCCAAATGATTGGAAACGGGCTGTGAGATTGAACATCCAGACCAGTTTTTTTGTTTTGTTTTCTTTTCGAGACAGGGTTTCTCTGTGTAGCTTTGTAGACCAGGTTGGCCTTGAACTCAGAGAGATCCGCCTGCCTCTGCCTCCCGAGTGAGTGCTGGGACTAAAGGTGTGTGCCACCACTGTCCGGCTTCATCCAGGCCAGTTTAAAGATCCAGTTCTCCTGCGGCAGCATCAGTAAAGGAACCCTGCTACAGTTACTGAGCTCAGGGCTTCACTCCTGACCCCAGCCTTCACTCTGAGAGGCTGAATCCTGGGAGCAGCAGTGAAACATTCCCAGAGTGATTTCAGTCCAGACCAGAGCCATCCTAGAAGGAGCAGGAAGAACTCAGCCTCTAGGTCTCAGAACAAGATGGACAGAGAAGGAGACATTTTTAAAGCCCAAGAGCTGTAGAGAGAGAATGCACTTGGTTTTGTTACCTTATTTCCAGATCGTAGGGGACAGGGCTTCTTGGAGACAGGGCAATGAGGACACAGGGCTGTTCCCCAAGGTGAGTTGGTAGGGCAGGCAGACACCCTGGAGTCTGGCACCCAACCTCAGTGCTGAGATCACTGAGGCCACTGCTGGCTTTCTGGAAGGCTTAAGGTTTGCCCCTTTCAAACAAACCCGCTGGACACACTGTTAACAACTTGCCTTGCTGGAGATCCATGATTCCCTCCTGAGTTTGAGATATAGCAACAGATGGGCAGGGAGCTCCCGTGTAAAGCTTTTCCGCGACTATTTTAAGCCACTGAACCTCTTCTTGTGGTGGTATAAAAGCAGTGAAAATACTGTAAAGCAGGGGTGGTCCAAAGTCTTTCTGGTTTTCCTTGAAAGCCTCCTAATGACTCTAATGGCTTTTCCCGCAGCCTCTTCGATGCTGTATACTCGTTGATCAAAAATAAAATCCACAGATTGCCAGTTATTGACCCTATCAGTGGGAATGCACTTTATATACTAACCCACAAAAGAATCCTCAAGTTCCTCCAGCTTTTTGTAAGTAGTCCCTAAAGATTCAGTTGTGTTGACTGTCACTCACACCAAGTAAATGGGCTCCTGTTGCTCTCGGTAGAAGAAACTGCTAGTTCCAAGGTCTCCATTTTGCAACATTTCAGTTTCTCAACTCATTACTGTGTGTACTGTGTGTTCTCTAAGTTGAGGCCAGCTCAAATGCTAAAATCTTTTAGACCAAGTATTACAATAATAAAAATGGGGAATGCCCCCTGAAGATGGGCATTTCCTGTGCACGGGCGCTAAAGCAGTTTCTAAGGTCAGTCTCATTGATGTCTACTGCACCAGACAGATGGAGCCAGGGTTTAGGTAGAAGTTGCTTTGTGGTGTGTTTGTTGAGGTCATGGTTTTAGAAACATGAGCAGAAAAACCCATTCCAAGAGTTGTCTCATTCTTGACTCAGCAGCGTCCAGAAAATCCCAAGGCAAGTCGGCTGTAAGCAAGAGATACACCATAGTGCACTTGTGTGGTTTGTGTTCACAGCCTGAGACAGGTAGTATTAGAGGCAGCTCCATGGGAGCAGTGATGTGCCAGGAGAAGGCTTTCCTGTGCTAAAGGTGGAGGAGTTGAAGCCCTCCGTCAGTGAAAGTGATGATGGTTCAGAATGGTCACCGGAGTTTGCTTTCTAAAGGAAATACACTTAAAAGCTGCTTCCTGTCTGCAGCTTCCCACCAGGCATGGCCTGCAAGTTGCTCTTCTGGATGCATCCAGGGGCTTACAGAAATGTCAAAGGTTTAGAGAAATTGCTGATCCAGCTGGTCATGTAGTTTAATAGAGCCTACAGAGACAGGTTGCATTTCCTGATTGAGTAAATGCTAAGCAATCAGGAGAGGAATGATTTCCCAAGAAGCCCATGAGATTTAGTAAGCAACCTAGGAAGAAAGCGAGGGGTTTTATCCATCAGTTGGGAACTGGTTAGTGTGGCGGCCTTCCATGTTGAGACATCATAGGAGCCAAGGGCGTGGATGTAGGGGCAGGAACTCTGGTTCACAGTGGCCAGGCTGGCAGCTCAGCCCCCTAGAGCCCATCTGTGACAGTGCCACTGGCAGGCACTATCCTGGGAGCGTTGCACGAGGTGTCCTTATTTCAGCCTGTCCAGTTGATGTTGCTAATGTTATTCATAGTACCACTCAGCTGGTCTGTAGAGAGGAAGGGGTTGCCTTATATTTGGACCAGTATGGCAGATAGAACCTTGCAGCCAGAATATTCAGCCATCTCAGATAAAAATGTGTGTTTTAAATAAAGAAACACCATAGCCTGTTTTTTTACTGAGTTATCAGGCTCCTTCTGAGAAAGGGTAGCGATACCCTTCCAAGCACTTGAGAAGCAGGCAGTCTAAATCAGGAGTCTCCTGTATTGAGATGGATTGGATGACCTAATAGGTCTTTCTTTCTCTCTCTTTTTTTTTTCTCTAAATTTCTAGGAATCTCATGATTTGAATATTGATGAACTCTTTGACTTGAACATTTTGTTTCTTCTAATTGTTCATCTTCTCCTGATAACTATAAGGTATACCAGGAGGATGGCATCAAATCTGCCCTTTTTTAAAAGGTGGATCTTTGAAACCATAGACCTTACTTTGTTGTAGTCCAACCTGATCCTGGACTTTCTCCCAACTTATCCCTCCTCCTCTGAAACAGTCAGAAAAAGGAAGTTAATCTTTAAAGGTTCCTTCTGCTATGTTCAGCTAGCTTATTCTTTGTTTTTAAAAGTCAGAAATTGGATTCATTTGGGGAGAGTGCAGGCTGTGGCAGTGGGCTGGAACAAGTAGCAGCTTGATCTCAGCCAGTCAGCCCTGGAGTTGCAGACAACAGGGCTCAAGGCTGAATGTACATCACTAAGAATAAAGGGTTCAGGCCATGCTGGCTTTCAGGCCTTCATTTTCCAGACAGACCTGTCCTTCCCATACTGTTTTAGTATAACGAGAAGGGAAAACATAAATTGTTGGAATCATTTTTCTGTGGCAGGATGCATGTAGAGCAGCAGGTTTGAGACAGTTGTGATGTAGCTTTGACGACAGTGAGACACCAAGCTGGCTGTTAGGAAAGAGTACCTTTAACTTGTTGAACATAGTTTTTCATTCAGATCTGGATGTTTGAGCATTGAAAGGGTTTGCTAGGGTTCTAGAACATTCTCATGTCTCTTCCTTGCTCAGATGTCTGATATGCCAAAGCCTGCCTTCATGAAGCAGAACCTGGATGAACTTGGAATAGGAACGTACCACAATATTGCCTTCATTCACCCAGACACTCCCATCATCAAAGCCTTGAACATCTTTGTGGAGAGACGGATATCAGCACTGCCTGTGGTGGATGAGTCAGGTCTGTGAGGCCACCCTGGCAAAGCTGAGTGCCCTGCGTCTGAACCAGGAGTGGGAAATGAGCAGACTGCAGAGCAGTCAATACTGGGATGCAGTTCCCACAGTCAGCAACCAAGACAATGAGAATTTTAAGTGGGCTTAGTTTCCTAAGATACTGTTTCGTGTCCATTTTCAAATTGGCCCATTTGTTTTACTCAACACTGTTTAATCCACAGTAGTTACCCAGTTAAGACTGATTCTTTAATGAGTTGCTGTTTTGTTCCTAAAATGTTTTTCTAACATATGTTTTCATTTTTAGGAAAAGTTGTAGATATTTATTCCAAGTTTGATGTAATTGTAAGTATTTTTTCATGTTTTTAAACCTGTCATTCAGAATGCATTTCTAAACAAATGAAAACCAAAATTAGACTGGGTCATTTATTCCCTGATGTAACCATTTCTGACCTTTTGAGTGAGAGTCTTGGAGAGTTTCAGTCTCCTCACAGTGATGATATTTCTAATACTCGCTGACGTACCAATGAATTGTGTAAGTATGTGCTGATGTTTCGCCATCCATCCCTACAGCCCGTGTATCTTACCATTCTCAGGGTTAGTTCATTTCTCAGGAGACATTGCTCATGTGGATGTAAAGCCTTAGTGGGCAAAATGGGGAGGAGCCTGGTAGAAAACACTGTCAACATTTAACATGTGAGCTGGAGAGTTGCCTTAGTAGTTAAGAGTACATGATGGTCCCAGTGTCAGAGGAGAGGCTCGCAAATACCGGAACTCCAGCTTCAAGGGATCTGATACCCTTTTCTGTCCTCTATAACCACTACACACACATACACACACACACACACACACACACACACACACACACACACACACACAGACATATGTGTGTACATATGCACACAAATATAAAGTCAGACGCTTTTTAAATATATAAAATATATATAAAACAGCATCTATCTGCCAAGCCTAGTGACGAAGCCTGTAGTCCCAGCTACTCAAGAGCTTGGGGCAGGAGGATTGCAAGTTCAAGTCCTGACTGGACTTAGAATAAGTTCAGAACCAGTATGAGTAACTTAGGGAGACCTGGCTCAAAATTGGGAAAAAAACAAAAAGAGGCTAGGACAGTAGCTGAGTGGTAGAGCAGTTGCTTAGTTTGCATGAGTCCCTGGGCTCAATCCCCCATACTACCAACACAACAAATTTACATTTCTCCATAATCAGGATCCACTTAATAATATGATATCCTCAGTTATGACTGACATAACCAGGCTGATGGTGTGATACCAGCTGGGAAGAGAACTCTTAATACCAAATTCCATGTTAATGTTTTTAAAAATCAGGTTGCTCATTCATCCAAATGGAAATGAAGAACATAACTTTTTTCCTATGACTCTGTTACAGAATCTTGCTGCTGAGAAAACGTATAATAATCTAGACATCACGGTGACCCAGGCCCTGCAGCACCGCTCACAGTATTTTGAGGGTGTGGTGAAGTGCAATAAGCTGGAAACACTGGAGACCATCGTGGACAGGATAGTGAGAGCCGAGGTGAGAGACCCCAGCGCTACACGTCCTCCTTTAAGTCCTTCAGCACACACACAACAAGCAGTGAATGGACGGCTGGGGAGGGTGAGACACGGCCCTGGGAGGCAGACCAGGGGTTCTGTAGGATAGGAGTGAGTGGCTTCATGGCCGTTCTGAACCCAGCACAGTGCTTGACACACAGACCTGAAGGCTTGCTGAGTTGAGTTGAATTTGGTAAATTTTTGTGAGTGAAAATATTGGCAAGGTGCTTTCCTTTTTAATGAAGATCTATTTATTATGGAATGCAAAAAGAAAACTAAAAAAATTAAAAAAGTAGCATAAAAAAAATTTATTTACTATGTATACAATGTTTTGCCTGCATGTATGTCTGCATACCAGAAGAGGGAGCCTATCTCATTATAGATGGCTGTGAGCTGCCATGCAGGTGCTGGGAATTGAACTCAGGACCTCTGGAAGAGCAGCCAGTGCTCTTAACCTCTGAGCCATCTCTCCAGACCCCTGCAAGGTACTTTCAGAGTATAAAAAAAATGGACACTTGAGAAAACAAAAATTGCCCCAGGAGCTTTTAGTTAATACATCCTGTCAGAGTATCGGTGAATTCAAAGCAAAAATATATAGTGTTATTTTAACAAAGTGAATGATAATAAGGTAAAGTGAAACTTTAATTTTGTGTGTGTGTGTGTGTGTGTGTGTGTACTTGCATCCACATATGTGGGGGCTAGATCTCTCCTTCCCTCTTTATGTAGGTTCTAGGGACTGAACACAGATCATCAGGCTGTGTGACATCTACCCTGAGCCATCTCACCAGCCCCAAACAAAGCTTTTTAAATTTCCTCTCTCTCTCTCCTCTCTCTGCCTGGCTGAAGTGAACTGTAAACTGCAGGACTTTCCCAGCCCGAGCAGCCACCCCCACACTGCCTGGACTTTATTGTTTGCGGAATTTTCAAGTGTACCTTACACAGTGTTCCCAGGAAGGAAGAGAGGTCACTGTAGTGTGTATCATCCACCTTCTCGTTCCCACAGCCATTCCTTTCTTCTCAGAGAGGGCTAGGAGTGGCATCCCCAGTGCCCTTGTCCCGCCCCCTCCTTTGTCCTCCAGTGTCATTCTCAAGGACTGAAGGATGCAGTTCTGTTCTTTCCAGAACATTCCCTACTAAGCAAAGTGAGCTCCTAATGACAAGTCTGCTTCAATATTTTAAATACAGGAGTTCAAGCTAAGAGACAGAGTGCCTGATGAGCCGTGAGGCCACTAAGAGGCGACTGTAACTTCCACGGTGAAAGCACATGCCGCTGAAGCCGTGTGCTGTATTGAGAGCCTTTGCTGCTAGAATTCCCCTGAGCCCCCATGGAGTCCAGCCTCTGTCCTGTAGAGGGCCGGTGTCCGTCCTGTAGAATCCACAGCGTCTAGCCTCCATGTGACGTCTGAGCTCACTCCTTCAGCGTCTCCCTCCCCAGCTGTTTTCATTGCTCTTTAGCACAGCATTGTAATAGTATATCTTCCCTTTTCTTAAACTGTGCCTACATCCATCTTGTTTTCTAGAAGGTTCTAACACACTTGGGGATGCATCCTAATGTCTCATGAATGTCCTTAGAGTCACGTGTCCTCCTTGGGTCAGAAGCAGGAATAGCAAAGGTGTCATCCCTCCCTGTGATGACAGTGGAACTGCACACGATGGAATCCATTGTGAGAACTACAGATCCCTTTGTAGGAGAGTGTTAATGTTGAAAACCACTAGCGGTCTGTTGCCATGAGAAAAGGTCAGTTACTGAGTCCAGTAATGCCCACACTGTTGTGTGCTGTGGTGGAGGCCATGGAAATCTGTGGTTTGAAAAAAAAAGCCGTGAAGGGAAGTGAGGATGTAAAAAGTTGTTTTCGCAAGTTACCTGTCTCGACTGTCTGTTATTGAAATTCCTCCACCGGATGACTCCTCCCAGAGCCAGAGTGTCTATGTCACTGTCAGCCTGTTTGACAAGAAGATGACTTTTAAGAAGTTCCTCAGACATATTTTGGCAGTCACGCACATGCCTCCCCATACATACATAAATAAACATAATAAAAATAGTTAAAGTAACTCATCATTTTATCCTAAATCGCAATTCCAGTGCTGTGTTTTATCACAGGATTACTAAGGGACCTGAAAGGACTTTTAAAGAAACTTTTGTAAAGAAATCTATGTTGACTGACACAAGAAAGATAACCAGAGTGACTTACTTTTTAACCCTAAAGCCAGTTATGACATCAAAAACATTATCCTTTGACAAAATACATAGACATCCTCCTCTGCAGCTCCTCACTGTGTCACTGTCACCTTTTATGCCAGGAGCTAAGGCTGGCCGATGCCTCCAGGGTCCCCTCAGGTAACCTTTGTCCCCAGGCAGATTAACAGGAAGTTGGAATGCTATTCCACACGCTTTGTCATGTCAAGATGTTAGATGAGATCACTAGAGGTCACTACACCTGCTTCGCTGCCACAGTTTATCCTCTTGAATGTTCGCACCAATACATGAGTGCCACAGAAAAGCCACAGCAGGCTGGGCATTGGTGGTGCACGCCTTTAATCCCAGCACTCGGGAGGCAGAGGCAGAGGCAGGTGGATCTCTGTGAGTTCGAGACCAGCCTGGTCTACAAGAGCTAGTTCCAGGATAGCCTCCAAAGCTACAGAGGAAACCCTGTCTCGAAAAGCAAAAAACAAAAAAACAAAAGCCACAGCAGGAGAGGAAAAGAGCAGAGAGCCTGGTCCTAAGTCCCCACAACCATCTGGACTTCTACTGGCCAGCTAAAACCAGTTTCCTACTGGCTACAAGAGGCTGAGAGGGAGTATTAAAATTTAGAGGCTGGAGTGGAGTCAGGGATGGCCCGCTTGGTAAAGTTTTCGCCACACAAGCACAAGAACCCAAATTTGATCCACAGCTGCCGGGTATAAAGGGAGGCAGAGGCAAGAGCATCTGTGAGGCCTGCAGGCTAGCCAGTGTAGCTGAGTCGGTGAGCTCCAGGTTCAGGACAGGGAGAGACCTTGTGGAGGAGCATGGAGGAAGTCACCCAGTGTGGGCTGGGCTCTGGCCTCCGTGCCCACCACATGCAATGCACACACAGACTGTTAATTTTTTTTGGGGGGGGGGGGCGTTTCGAGACAGGGTTTCTCTGTGTAGCTTTGGAGCCTATCCTGGCACTCGCTCTAGAGACCAGGCTGGCCTCGAACTCACAGAGATCCTCCTGCCTCTGCCTCCCGAGTGCTGGGAGGCACAACGCCCGGCAAGACTGTTAATTTTGAGCTGCATGATTCCCTTAGAGAAATTTTGAAATTTGAAGTCTTAGCAGACAGAGCTGGCTCATTTTTCTCACAATGGTCAAGCAAACTGGTGTCCATTTCACCTCTGGGCCCAAGCCTTTCTGTCTGCCACTGTGCAGCCTCTCCTGGCTGTATTCATTGCATCCTTACATGAGTGCCGTTTTTTTTTTTTTTTCAACATGCATTTTAAAGTATTTTTAATTTAAACTTTCACATGTGGACTAGGAGGGTGGATCAGTGGGTAAGTTGCCCACTGTTCTGGCATGAGGACATTCAGATCCCATCACCCACCCAAATGGGGACAGCAGTATAGTCCTGTATCCCCAGCTCTGGTGGGACAGAAATAGGTGGACTCTGGACTCACTGGCCAGCCAGTCTAGTAAAGTGGCAAGGTTGTGTGGGAGACTCTGTCTTAAGAAAATGAATAATAATAGTAATAGTGATGGTGACGATATGGGGCTGGAGCGGGCTCAGAGGCTGCAAGTTCTTACTGCTTTTCCAAAGGACACAGGTTAGGTTGTTGGATTCCTAGCACCCACATGGCTGCTCACAGCCATCCAGTTCCAGGGGATCGGACTCCCTCTTTCTGGCCTCCAAGGGCACTGCATGCATGTGGTACACAGACATATATGCAGGCAAAATGCCCATACCCGGAAAACAAGAATAATAAATATAAGTGAGGCAGTGGGAAAGTGGTGTCACACGTCTTTAATCCCAGCACTCGGGAGGCAGAAACAAGCAGGTCTCAGAGTTCGAGGCCAGCCTGTGTACAAGTGAGTTCCAGGACAGCCAGGGTACACAGAGAAACCCTGTCTCAGGAAAAATAAAATAAAAACTTGACATCAACCTCTGGCCTCCATATACTCAGTGCGCATGCAAGTGCAACACACACACACACACACACACAAACTCACACCTGGACTTTTCTCTTTGCAGGTCCATCGGCTGGTGGTAGTGAATGAAGCAGATAGTATTGTGGGTATTATCTCCCTGTCAGACATCCTGCAAGCCCTGATCCTCACACCAGCAGGTAAAAATACAGATTTCAGGCCAACACAGTATCACATGAATTTAATCCTGGCACTCAGGAAGCAGAAACTGAACCATCTCTGTAAGCTTGAGGCCAGCTGGTCTACATAGTGAACTCCAAGCCAATTAGGGCTACAAAAGAGACACTGTCTCAAAAAAAAGGTAGGATGGATAGATGGATGGATGGATGATGGGTGGATGATGAATGATGGATGGATGGATGAGTGGATGGATGGATGGATGGATGGATGGATGGATGGATGATGATGGGTGGATGATGGATAGATGGATGGATGATGGATGGATGGATGGATGGATGATGGGTGGGTGGATGATGGATGGATGGATGGATGGATGATGGGTGGGTGGATGATGGATGGATGGGTGATGGGTGGATGGATGATGGGTGGATGATGGATGGATGGGTGGATGATGGGTGGGTGGATGGATGGATGAATGGATGGATGGGTGATGGGTGGATGATGGATAGATGGATGGATGGATGGATGATGGGTGGGTGGATGGATGATGGGTGGATGATGGATGGATGGGTGGATGATGGGTGGGTGGATGGATGATGGATAGATGGATGGATGGGTGATGGGTGGATGGATGGATGATGAGTGGATGATAGATGGATGGATGGATTATGGGTGGATGGATGGATGGATGGATGGATGATGGGTGGGTGGATGGATGATGGATGGATGGATGGATGGATGGACTGACTTCTATCCACGATTTCCAGGACAGGCACTGAGGTGTTGAAGACACCTCCCCTCCCTCCCTCCCACACAGCAGGACTTTGTGTGCACTGCTCTACGGACCTTTTTGCCTTTTCATTTTTGAAGTTCTAATGTTCTGCTTGGGTGAGCAGTTTCTATAAGGCATACAGAGGGGCAGGGGTGGAAGGCACAGGCACAGAGGTGTCCTGATGAGGCCACATCCTTCCTTCACATTCTCTTTGCCTCTCCAGCCCCAGCGTGGAAACTCCTAGCTTTTTCCACAGGGTCACAGACCCAGGACAGACATGACAATAGGCGGCATATACTTTGAACTCTAGCAGTTAATCATTAAATTATGTACCCACTGTGGTATTGCTTTTCTTTAGTTCAGAAAGCAATCAGTCTCAGCTAAAGCTAGCTTTTGTAATTAGTCTGTTCCCTAAAACTACCCCCCATAAGAGTCCCCAGCAACTGCTATAGTACTGCCCGACTCTCCAAATGCAAAAGCCACAGAGCCAGCCACAGGAAAGAGTCACCTTCATAGGGACCTTGGCCTGTAGATGGGCCTCTTGCAGTCATTTTCAGACTAAGTGGCTGAAGTTCACAGTGAGCTTCACGGTCGTGAACAACCAGGCATCAGATGAATGATTTGTGTTGATACTATAAACCTATCTTAGTTACTTTTCTATTACTGTAAAGATACCAGGACCAAAGCAACTTACAAAGGAAGGAGTTTATTGGGGCTTCCAGTTTCAGAGGGTGAGTCTAGGCCCATCCTGGTGTGGAGCGTGACGGCAGGTAGGCATAGTGTTGGAACAGTGGTTGAGAGATCATATCTGATCTGCAAACAGGCAGAAAGAGAGGAGGCGCTAACTGGGGTGGGGGTGGCATGGGCTTTTGAAATCTCCAAGCCCACCCCAACTGACACACCTCCTTCATCAAAGCCACACCTCTTAATCCTTCCCAAACAATTGTACCAGCTGGGGGCCATGCTCATTCAAACCACCACAACCTTCAAGTGGGAAATGACCTAGTAACTTTCAAAAGATGAAAGGGGAAACTGAGATACTTGTCCCGTGGAATACCATACAGCACTAAAAGTTAATAGAGCTACTCAATTACAAGAAAAACTGGGAAGTCATGTTAACGTGTAGCTTGTGACAGTTTATGTGTAAGTAAATCTCCAAGCAGGCAGAACCACGGGCACTCCCAGTGCAAATGAGAAAGCTGTTGTCTGTGTAGACTCATCCCCACAGGTAGGTAGTGCCCTCTTCAGGACCAGCCCTGGACCCAGGCATGCAGTCACCTCAGCAGAGTTGAGGGCAAGCCCTCATTTGTCCCCTTGAAAAGAATCCCAGAGTAAACCTGCAAGTGGCTCCTTCTCCGTAGCCTTGGTAGCCCAACATAAGCTGGGCAGGTTGGGTGTGACTTCAGATTCCCATCTAAACTTGGTATCTCCAAAGGTGTCAATCATTCTCGCTCCTCCCATCCCTGTGAGTACAGTGCAGAAATCTGTCTCACAGCTGGCATTTGGAATGGATTTTCCATAGAAACCCTGTCATAAGAACGAGGTGGCTGGGTTGGAGTTCTTGTTGATAGGCTGTGTATAACGTTTCATTGAGGAAAATGTTGTGTTCCTACTATCTAAAGCAGAGCTTCCATGGAGCTCAGTGCTCACTTTCACAAGGTAACTAGCATGCTTACAAATCAGGAGAATGATGTCATACATGGAAACTAAGAGACCAGATCCCAGTTACCCCACCTGTGTGCATTGGTGGGAGGGTGTCAGATCTTCTGGAACTGGAGTTACAGACAGTTGTGAGCAGCCAGTGCTCTCTCTCCAGCCTGGCCTGCCTGTCTTTAGCTGTAGAATGAGTGGTCTCTACGGCCTGCCTCCCTCCCGACATACCAAGAGATGGAACCACAACCTGAGTGCAGAGGCAGACCTTCTGCCCACAGTGAGCAGCACGCTGGATGCTTATGGGATTCCCCTTCAGGGAAGCACAGCCGCTGTCACACAGTCAAAAGCAGCTCAGGAGATGTGGCCACAGCTGCGCTAATGTGGATACTCGCTCACTACAGTAGCATTTTTTCTTTTTCAAACTGCTTAGCAACAACACATAGTGGAACTCACAGTTCAAGTGGGCCTTTGCTGCACTTGCACCTGCCAGGAAGCAATCTGGCAGTACCAGCTACAGCTTGTAGCCCCTTCTAACGTTATTAACCTCTTTCCAAAGCTAAGTGTGTAGCCTGATACAGAAGGCACATGTGGATCCCAGTCCTCTGAAGGCAGAGGCCAGGCTGAGCTGCCTAGCAAGATCCTGCCTCAGGAAACCAAGGACCAGGGCCTGGAGATGGCTCGGAGGTTAAGAGCACCAGCTGCTCTTCCAGAGGACCCGGGTTTGATTCCCAGCACCCACATGACGGCTCACAGCTGTCTGTAACTGATCCCAGAAACTCTGACATCCTCACTGCCCTCCTTGGACATTGCACAGACATGGTGCAGAGATACACATGTAGACAAAGCACCCAGACAATTTTTAACTTTTAAAAAAAATAAAAGGTCAGGAGACAGCTAGGGAGGTGCTGCGGGTAGTACGGTATAGCTGTGCCTGCCATCCCAGAGGACAACGTCAGGTACTTGTAGCTGCTGTGCACAATTGTCCTTAGATGTCTTATAATGTTTTGACATATAAGAATGGCAGCTGAAATAACTGCCTGTTTATTTTTACATTTTTAGTAGTGGGATCTGACATTTGGAATGGCAAAATGTGATAAAGATCAGCCCAGGTGGCGGTGGCGGTGGGTGGGGCTCTTGTAGCCACCCATTCCTCCCACCTCTCTCAGTTTGGAAGCCTCTGGCTGTCCTTAGCCACTGCCAGACTGGGTGGATTGACTTGTGCAGAGAATCCTGCCTTGAGCATGAACTTGAAATTTGCACTTTCCATATCCTGGCAGGTGCCAAGCAGAAGGAGACAGAGGCTGAATGACCACCGTAGATGCCCTCACAGGAGAACTTGAACAAAGTCTCGGGGTCACATTTTGCCTCATGAACACTGGCTGCAATAGAAGATAAAAGGCTAAGAATGTATATCAGGGTTGGCAGTGGGTATTTTCCCAGTGATTTGTAAGCATAGGAAAAGATTTATGTGCTTGAAGAAGATTCAGGCTTGCGTTCAAAGACTGTCCTCAGACCCCCGTCCGAGGGATTTCAATGCTGTATGTCATTAAAGTGCACTGTGTCCTGAAATTAGTACTACTTTTCATTTCAAAGAAGTCACTGGGATGGAACAGGTGACTGAAAGTGAGTGAATGGCACGTCCAGATCACGGTGCCTTATGTCCAAACATGCAATATGTCACCGCCGCTCCGCTCGGCCCAAAGTGCTGCTGAAGAGACACCCAGCCCGAATGTGAACATCTTCAAACCTTTACCCAGTCTCTTTCTTTTCACTCAATTTGTTGAAAGGTTGTCATTTTAATCTAGGCAACTGAGAACTGGAGGTGATGGGTCTAAGTGGTGTGTGTCCTGTTCTGGCCGGTGAGGCTGGCTTGGTAGCAACAGTTTATTTTTACTCTCCTGCAGTTTTTTTTACACCTTTTGGTGAATGGACTTCACCAAACCTACAAATAAAATCTTGGTTGTTCTCTGAAATGGCAAATCTCTCATGGTTTTAGTTTGGATCTGGAAAGGCTACACCTTCTAAACAGCCACTGTTGGGTTTTTTAAAAAATGTTTATGGAAATGGGCCATGGCTGCAGGGATGAAGTGCCAGAAGACATATGTTTTTTGTTTGTTTTTGTTTTTTTTTTTAATTGTGTGTTGAAATGTAAACTCATGATGTTTGTGTGACCGAACACAAGACGCTTGTAACTTTTATTGTGACACATAAAACAGTATTGTCATGCAATTGAAGGGAAACAATGTTCCCTCATGTCAGTGCTCTGAAAATGTTGACACTGTGTGTGTGTGTGTGTGTGTGTGTGTGTGTGCAGAGTTTGGGGTTTTGTTCCTTGGGTTTTTTTTTTTTTCCAGATTGAAAATTAAAATAAAACCTACCTACCAGTTTGCTAAAGTTTTTTAAAATACCATATATTTGGGCATGTTCCAATTAAGAGTCTACATGGAGTTTCCCACTTACATTTCATCTCCCTTTTACCTATCCCCAGAAGAGAACTTAAAAATATTTAACTTGTGAATTCCATTATTAAATGTAAACATTTGTTAGAGTTTCTTTTCAAGACAGGGTTTCTCTGTATAACTCTGGCTGTCCTGGAACTCACTTAGTAAACCAGGCTGGCCTCAAACTCAGAGATCCACCTGCCTCGGCCCCCTGAGTGCTAGGATTAAATACGTTTGCCACCACACCCAACTTAAATATGAACATATTTTTAATTAGGAATTGTTACACCAGGAGCTGGAGAGATGGCTTGGGTTAAGAGCACTGACTGTTCTTGCAGAGGACCTGGGTTCAGTTCCCAGAACAAACATGGTGGCTCACAACCATCTGTAACTCCTGCTCCCAGGGATTCAACAGTCTCTTCTGACTTCTGTGAGTATTTATTGTCTGTAGTACACTTACATGTAGACAAACACACATAAAATAAAAATAAATCTTTAGCCGGGCGTTGGTGGCGCACGCCTTTAATCCCAGCACTCGGGAGGCAGAGGCAGGAGGATCTCTGTGAGTTCGAGACCAGCCTGGTCTACAAGAGCTAGTTCCAGGACAGCCTCCAAAGCCACAGAGAAACCCTGTCTCAAAATAAAATAAAATAAATCTTTAAAAAGAGATTTGTCACATAAAACAGGATGGCAGCCTACTTCTGCCATTGCAAGAAGAAGTAAAGGCTGAGACTGTCCCTGCACTCAGTCCAGTCCAACGCCAGCCTGGGCTTCAGAACAAAACCCTGTCTTTTTTTTTTTTTTGTAAATTTTTTTTAATTTTATTTTACATTCCAACCAAAGTTCTCCCACCCCTCCTCCCACCCCCACAAACTCCCCCACGTACTCCTCCCGACAGGTAAGGGTTCCCATAGGGAGTCGATACAAATTGGCACATTAAGTTGGGTTGAGACCAAGCCCATCCCCCTGTGTTAAATCTGAGCATGGCCTCCCCTCATAGGAAATGGGCTCTAACAAGCTTGCTCATGCACTGGGGATAGATCCTGGTCCAACTGCCAGTGGTCCCTCAGATAGCCGAAGCTTCACAACTGTCTCCTGCATACGGAGGTCCTATTCCCGTCTCAGGGAGGCTCCACAGCTGTCGGTCTAGAGTTCGTGAGTTTCCACCATCTGGGTTCAGCTGTCTGTAGATTTCCCCTTCCTGATCTTGACAGCCCTTGCTCAGAGATTCCCTCCTCCCTCTCATCGACTGGATTCCCAGCGCTCGGCCTAGTGCTTGGTTGTGGATCTCGAATCTGGTTCCATCAATTACTGGATGAAGGCTCTATGATGATAGATGGGGAATTCACCAATCTGATTACAGGGGAAATCCAGTTCGGGCACCCTCTACGCTTTTGCCAGGAGACTTAGCTGGTGTCATCCTTGTGGGTTCCTGGGGGTTTCCCTAGCACCAGGTTTCTCCCCAACCCACCGGTGACTCCCGTTACATCTCTCACATGCTCAACCGCCCCATTCTCTCATGTTCTCATTCCCCATCCCTCCCCCTTTACCCACCCCTTCATCCCCAGTTTACCCAGGAGATCTCATCTAATTCCCAGAGCAATCCAGGGTTCGCAAGACCCTATCTTAAAAAGAATTGTCTCACTGTGTGTGTGTGTGTGTGTGTGTGTGTGTGTGTGTGTGTGTGTGTGTGTGTGTGTGTGTGTACATTCGTGCCCTAAGATGTTGATTTCCTAGTTGGCCAAATAAATGACATGCGTTCACATGGCCTCCCTGGAAACAGTGGCAGCTTAATTCTTGAAAGAAAGTGACAGAACATCAGAAAGCTACTAGAACAGTCCTAAAGCTCAATCCCTCCCTGTACAAACCTGTCAAACACTCTTGAGTTTGTTCATTTGGTGCCAGGCCCTGGGCCCTCCTGGTTGCAGAGCCCTTGCCCTGGTCCGATCAGGGAAAAAACAAAACAAAACACTAGGCACAGGCATCTGGGTGACACTGTCCTAATCACTTTTTCTGATGTATTTTAACGGGGAATGCAATAACCCACATTGTTCCTATTGCCACTACCCCTACTTGCCACTATCAAGAATTCACCTAGCTGGGCAGTGGTGGTGCACACCTTTAATCCCAGCACTTGGGAGGCAGAGGCAGGCAGATCTCTCTGAGTTTGAGTTTGAGGACAGTCTGTCTACAGAGCAAGTGCCAGGCAGGATAGGCTCCAAAGCTACACAGAGAAACCCTTTCTAGAAAAAAAATTTACCTGACCCTCTCCAGTAAGACACATCACAAAGTACCAATTCCAGCCATCTGTCACCTTCCCAGTTTCAGGACCTTTCTCCTACCCCTGCAGTCATCCTGTATGCAAGTCCACACAGGCATCCAGCCTCCTCCAGCCAGAGGCAGAGCCCCCATTCATGCCCAGTACATCTGCTCTGGAATGATTTGCAGGTGAACTTGAGTCCTCTGAAATAAACACTCATTGTTTGAACATGCACTCATGTGTGTTCACTCTAGATGGGCTGATTCATAGATTGTTGGCTGCGAATTCTCACCTAAGCTTCTAGCTTCTGTTTCCCTTGATAGTGACAGGCTATGCTGCCAGCCCTGAGGTTGACATGGTACTGCTTCTTCCCCTAAGCCCAGCCCTGGCTCAGCTGGTCAGCAACACCTGACAACACAGGGCCAAAGGCAAGTTGCTAAGAGCAGCTTCCTCTCCTCCCAGCCCTCTCCTGTGCTGTGGCCATCGGGTCCCATTGCACTTGACACTTCTGCCTAGTCCTCACCCCAGGAGCTGCTCCTGCAACAGTACATGAGAAGAGTTTCCAGAAGTATTTCAGTCAGCTGGGAAGGGCACAGGCCTAAAGAGGGTGAGGCCTTCCTTGCCTCAGACCCCTGCTAGCTAATAACTCACCTGTGGGCAGTTTAAGGGGTCCTTGTCTGTTGTTTGAGACAGGCTCTTGGGTAGCCCAGGTTCATCTATAAAACTCATTGCAGCCGGGCGTTGGTGGCGCACGCCTTTAATTCCAGCACTCGGGAGGCAGAGGCAGGCGCATCTCCGTGAATTCAAGGACAGCCTGGTCTCCAGAGCGAGTGCCAGGATAGGTGCCAAAACTACACAGAGAAACCCTGTCTCGAAACCCACCTCCCCAAAAACAACTCATTCCATAGCCAGAGATAACTGTGAACTCCTGACCCTCTGGTCTAACCCTGAGTGCTGGGAAAGAGGTGCATTTGTGCGGTGCTGGTGATTGAACCCAGAACTCTGTAGGCTAGGCAAGCACTCTACCACCACATGCCAGCCCCTCTTTCTTTTTTTGGTGCTGGTACAAAACCCAAGGCTTCGCACACACTAGGCAGCCCTCTCCCACCAAGCTACACCCCACATTGTATGAAGTCTGTCCTCACACGGACATCATGTTAGCGATTTGGTCGCGGCCACAGCATCCTATCCTAGTGGCTGTAGTGGGTTGAGCTGTCTCCTCAAACAGACTCTGATATCCTTGTGTCTGACTTACCTGACAACATTGACCTGCTTTAGAAATTGGGTCTTTGTGGAGGAATCAAGTTAAGATGAGGTCATTAGGTTGGCACCAATCCAATAGGACTGGTGTCCTTTTTGTAAGAGGGAAATCTGGACACTGACACATGGAGAAGAAGGCTGTGTGATGATGACCTTAGCAGAGAATGGAGAGACGCAGTCACATGCCAAGAAAAGCCAGACCCTTGACAGTGCCCAGGCGCTTGTAAGACAGAGTGGGCCCTCCCTGCTTGTGGTAGAGCATTACAGCAGCCCAGGGAGCTGATACAGAGATCTCCCTCACAGCCTCGTTAACTGCTTTTGTGCAAAGTTGACATGCATGCTCACCTTTATTTGGGGGGGGATAATAAAATCAAAACCCACATCTTAGTAACAGAAACAACCTATGAGTCAGCAAAGGGTACCTTGACACTGAATAGCAGCTGGGGAGTCTCTTCCCACCGTTGGGAGCCTGTAAGGAAAAAAATAGTCCATGTTGAGAGTAGAACTTCAGTATCACTTGAGTTTATACATCATAAGTCCTTATCAAGAAAACAAGCCAATCCCAATCCCATCTTCAGGCAAAAAACAAAAAGAGGGATGGTCCTACAAGGATGCTAGAGACCTTGTTCTCTCAAAACCTTTCTGCTTTCTAAGCCTGCCTCAGCATGTCACAAATATGTAGTCCACACCCAGCACTCTGGCAGATTTTTCTCTGGGTTCAGTTCCCAGGTCATCCCCATAGGGTTAATGGTGCCTCCTCCCAAAGGGAAGTAGGAGGTGCACATGAAACGAGGTGAGCAAAAGGTCGTGTGGTAGAGAAATGAAGAGGCGTGTCCTGAATCCCATCCCAACTCAAACTTACTGCCAGGAGAGCAGGTGCAACAGCTGCCAGCCATGCGTTATCCTACAGCAGAGTCCTCGTTCATGACCTACTTTAATTTTTAAAAGGAGAGGAAGGAAGATCCCACTCAGGTCAAAGATGGTCAAATCTGTCATGTATCGTGAACCAAGA